TTTGGTTATAATTGGTAACTTAAATTTCAATTAATTGCTTGGTAGGAATTTGACTTGGAATTGAAAACTAGGGCCAAAAATGGTGGCAAAATGAAAATAAAAACATCTTTGAAGCCAATGAAGATAATTAAAATTTTATTTACATATGCTAATTGCTCCATCTCCTTTCTTGATGTAAAATTTTAACATCCTTTGCTTGGAAATTGACTCGAAATTATTGGTAATTTATTAAATCTAAAAATTTTTGTGTATTTATGCTCTAGATTTTCTTTTGATGAATATTTGAAGCACATGTTGATCTCTATTATTTATTACATTTTCAGCACCTTTTCTTAATGGCGGATATTGTGGGGGCACTCCTTGAAATTGTAAAATGCATTGCTACTCCAACCTGCAACTATGTAGATCATTACAAGAATTTTGATGATGATGTGAATGAGTTGAGAGGCAAATTGGGAGATCTAAATAGAAGAAAACAAGATATAGAATCAAGAATTCAAGCAGAGGCTCGTGCAGGACAAATGGTAAAAGAAGAAGTGCAAGGCTGGATTCAACATGTACAAACCATCAATGAAGACGTACGTGCAAGCTATTTTAGAGAAGGCGCATAGAGTTAAATGGCGCAGAAAAGCTTGTCTTGGGAAACATGTTCGTAGAAAAATTGACGTGGTAAAAGCAATCCATGAACAAGGTAGTTTTACTGAAGGCCTTGTAATTGCAAGAGCTCCTCCCCAAGGAATCATAATTCCAACAGAGAATTTAGTGGGTGAAATTTCTACTAAAGATAAAATTTGGGAGTACTTGATGGGTGATGAGGTTGGAATAATTGGAGTTTGTGGGATTGGTGGAGTTGGAAAGAGTACAATCATAAAGAATGTCTACAATGATTTGCAGAGGGAGACTAGATTTCAGAAAGTGATCTGGGTTACTGTATCACATCCTCTTAATGTTTCTGAATTACAAAATAAGATTGCTGGTGCTATGGGCGAAAGTCTTCAGGAAGATGAAGAAGTGATGATGAGAGCCGCAGCACTAATGGATAAAATGAGAAGAGTGAAATTTGTACTAATATTAGATGATGTATGGGAAAAGCTTTCAGTCAAGGATGTTGGAATCCCAAAACCAACTGTGCAGAATGGGTGCAAAGTAATTATCACTAGTAGATCGACAGAAGTATACAGTTATTTAGATTGTAAGATTGTTAAAGTGCAACCTCTTTCACAAGAGGAATCTCTAACTCTGTTCCTCAATAAGGTTGGACGTGATGTTTTACAAATTTCCGGATTGGAAGAAATCTTGAAGCTAATTGTGAATGAGTGTGCTGGTTTACCACTTGCTATTGTTGTGATAGCAGGAAGCATGAAAGGAGTGGATGATATTAAGGTGTGGAGAAATGCCCTGACAGAGTTACAAAAAGGTGTTAAGAGTGTGAAAGGTTCGGAAGATGAGATATTTGTGCGGTTACGATTTAGTTATGACCGTCTGGGAAATTCAAAAATCCAAAAATGTTTTCTGTACTGCTCCTTATTCCAAGAAGATTTTGAGTTTTCTAAAAAGGAGTTGATAGAAGATTGGATTGATGAAGAACTGATTGATGAGTTGGGAAGTAGACAAGCAGCTTATGATAGCGGTCATACTATTTTAAATAGTCTTCAACATAATTTCTTGTTAGAGGAATGTGTTAGCAGTGATAGAGTTAAGATGCATGATGTTGTGAGAGACATGGCTATCAAAAACATCAGTCCTGAATTTGGATATATGGTAAAAACTGGTATGAAATTGAAGAAGGTACCAAATGAGAATGAGTGGGTAAGAAATCTTAAGAAGGTATCTCTAATGGCAAATGAAATTTCCAAAATTCCTGTTGGTTTGTCACCGAAGTGTCCGTTGCTGTCAACTTTGATATTGTCAAAAAATCTTAATTTGTTAGAGATTCCAAGTTCCTTTTTTGAAGGTATGGTCGAACTTAAGGTTCTTGATCTTTCTTATACTGGTATTAAAGCTTTACCTGATTCTATCTCTAACTTGGTGAATCTCTCTGCACTGCGGTTGAGGAGGTGCAAGAGGTTAAAGTGCTTGCCTTCCTTAACAAAGCTCAGGGCATTGAAGAAGTTGGATCTGCATATGGCAGGGATAGAGGTGGTCCCTGAAGGCATGGAGATGTTGGTAAGTCTTGAATATCTTGATTTAAATTGTCACAATCTGAAAGAGATTCCAACAGGAATATTACCTAGCCTTTCCAGTCTCCAGCACTTGGTTGTATATCCAAGCCGCGCAATTACTAGAAGGATAAATATAGAAGAGGTTGCTGGATTGAAAAATTTGGAGAGTTTGGAATGTGCAGTGGAGGGCATACAAGACTTCGACTATCTTGTCAATAAGTCCAAAGATTTGGAAAGTCTTACAGCTTATGATCTTCGACTGATAACAGATGAAGGAGGAATGGCAATGTATGACTTCTTTCCTGGCTATGAACGTACGGTTGCAATTAATGGGCGTGAGATTGGAGAAGAATGTGTAGTGCTTCCAAATACTCTTGAGAATTTGTGGATCTCTCATTGTAAAAACATGAAAAACATGAGATGCAGTTTAAACAAAATAGTTTTGTTAGAAAATGCAACCGAGTTGAGAAGGTGTACGATTAGTTCTTTAGAAGGGATGGAGTGTGTGTTTGAGTTGGACTCATCTTCCTCCTCATTGTGTTGTCCAGTACCGGATAAGCTTGAAATCTTGGATCTTAGGAGCTTGCTTAACTTGAGTGCACTTGTGAGAGTGGAAGGAGTAGCAACACCACCGCACATCTTTTCCAATCTTAAAAGTCTTCTAATAAGTACTTGTCCAAGAATGAGGAAGTTGTTTCCACTTGAGCTCTGGCATGCCTTCCAAAACTTAGAGAAGATTAATGTTGACAACTGCGAACAAATGGAGGAGATAATAGCACCATCAGATTTAGATGATACATCATCCAATAAATTCACTTTTCCCAAGTTAAGGGAATTGCATTTGTCATCTTTAGACCAATTGAAGAGCATCTGCAGTGGTAAAGGAGTTATGGATTGTGATTCTATTGAAGTTATTCAACTATTTAAATGTCCGAAGTTAAAGAGGATCCCTTTACAGCTTCCTCTGCTTGGTAATGATCAGCCATCTCCTCCTCCTTGTCTCAGAAGAATCCCGATAGATGAAAAGTCAAAAGAATGGTGGGAATCAGTGGTTGAGTTGGATCATCCTAACGCTAAAAACATATTGCAACCTTTCTTGAAATTTATTACACGTCGTGAATGGTGGTAAGGGGTTGATTGATTTATTCCAATTTGAATTTGAATTGTTTAGTTGCTTAAAATTTCTGTCATCTAATCTAAAAGCAGAGTTGTTGACAAATCTTCAATTTTCAGCTACCCATAAAAAAGTCACGTGCGAGCCCAATAACACGTGCCAATAAAACCCCTTCTTCCAGTACTCCACAATGGGAG